TGGATTCGAAGTCAGAACATTATCATTGATAACTCTCTCCTCCAATTTGTGGAACCTAGTTATTATATTCTTAATACTTGATATAATGAAAAAAATATCACAATGATAAAATCGGTCAATAATTATTTATAACTATTTATACTGGGACTCATGAATGCAATTACAAGTAATCCATAATAATATTTTGAATTTTGAAATCATATTTACTTTTGGCATAGGAATTTCTTAAAAATGTTTCTAAATCTTTGATTGTCTTTCAATCATTCTGCCTCACCTGCTATCCTCTTTCCTCGCACCTATGAAGTGCGCCGTACCGTTTGGGAACCCCTGTATTAAACACGTCAAATTTTAAACATAAAAATATATTGAACAAAAAGCGATTTATATAATACCAAGAGTAATCAATGAATTATAGATACGATTGAACATTTAAAACATTTAAAGGGAAAGGATTAATTGGCCTCTGTTTTAGCTGTGAATATTGGATTTCCGCTTTATTGAATCTCAATACATTGTTTCAAGACTTTTGTTTCATTGCATCTCACTATCAAAACTTTTTAACTGTTGCCGCCATTTTTGACGACACGGATACACTAGTTCATGGAAGTATGAAATATGTTGGGGTTAGGTTTAGGGGTTAGGGTTAGTGTTAGGGGTTAGGGTTAGGGGTTAGGGTTAGTGTTAGGGGTTAGGGTTAAATGCAGTGAACAATGAAATGATTATGTATTAAAAATCACTACGAATTTTTTATGCAAAAAGTTTCTTTTAAAAATCATCAAATAGTGATTTTAATGCTTGTAAACTGATTTGATGACATTTGAAAAAAAACCCCCCAAAAACAGTAATCAGGTTAGCGTTTTTCCTGAGCATTTTCCAGCACTAATAAGTCCTTTACGATAGGTTGCAAATACCCCAGTAAACATACTCTAGTAGCATCCAAAATTACTTCCCAAGCAAAATGAATCATTTAATTCATCAGTTCCCTTAATCCTACGTTTCTTAGATTGCAGTCTTATTTGTTCAAGCCTTTCATGTGAGGCACTCAGATACCTTAGTCTATTAAGTGCTCGTCTTACTTCAACTTGGTCTTGAAACAGGCTTTGCTGTCGCCATCTTTGTCGTTCTGTTGCTAATATTTTCGTCCAAGAAATATTTTCATTTCCCTGTTATATTAGACACATAACGTTTTTAACACGAAAAGATATTGAGGAAAAAGTGATTTATATAATACCAGGAGTAATCAATGAATCATAGATACCATTGAACATCTAAAAAATATAAAGGGAACAGAATTAATTAAACGGTTTATTGGCCCCTATTTTAATTGTGATTTCTTTATCGCAATTTTATTGAATCTTTTTTTCAAGACATTTGTTTCATTGCATCTCATTATTAAAACTTTCTAAAATTTGCCGCCATTTTTGATGGCACAGATACAATAGTAATACTACTGATAATGATGATAAGTAATCTGTGACTTTACGATTCAGAATGAACAAGCGATCCAAACGAAACGCACTGGGCATCTGTGTTCAGGGACTTGGAAGGATGAAGCAAATAATGGGATTTGGGAAATCACATTTAGATATTTGGGAACGTCTTGATCAGAAGCAAAAAGGAGCCATTTCTTTTGTTAAAAATCAAAGGAACCATAGTTGCTGGGAAGGTTGAAAAGGACTTTAATGGTTAGAAATAGTTTACCTTATCTAAAGAAAGGGGTAAACAAAAATAGAGGTAAATATTTTAAATCTCAAAAGATCTTTTTGGAGGGACTGTTGGGTAATAGATAGCAGCTCGGATTAAGGAATCGGAGAGCCGAGTTCGAATCTAGTCGAATTCGTTAGATTCATTTACGTGCTAATAACCTTGGGGAAGGTCTTAATCCATCTCTTCCCCGCAGCTATGGACAAATAGTATGATATATTGTGCTCTATAGCCTTTGTTGGCAACCAGTCTAGAAGAAAAAAAACTCTGAATACAAACCAACCTGGCGAGTGTTGGGCTCTGTCAGACTGTCTTGTCCGTGAAACATCACTGCTGCTATGGTCGCAGTAGATATGGTGCCCCTTAGACCCTAAGGGGTTATAGGATTCCTGATCGTAACTTATTTTTTGTTATCTGCTATTAATTAAAGTGTCTCTTTCTGCTTAGGTAGAAGCCATTCTGACTTTAACAAAGTTAAAACTTTAACAAAATTCATAATTAGAATGATGATCGTTCCTCAAACCGTAGTCATGGAGTCACACCTAATCCCCGCAACAGGTATTTCCTTATTGCTACAGGAAATAAAAAATAGGAGATGTCAGCTCATCCCCGAGCATCCACTTTGTTAGCCTCTTCCCCCAATGTTTCCTTTATTCCTCCCAAACACCAGAGCACGTCTCAGTGTCTGTGCCACTCGCACCGGCATGATATTTCCGACTCAAAGAGAGGTTTTGATGCTTTGATTTCTCGACAACAACCTCATTTAGTAACGATCTATCCTGAGTGACCTTTGGTCCTTGTATTCAGTTAAAGATAGTGAAAGATATACAAACTCTCAATCAGAGATTATCTGAACGAACTGGGTTAGCTTAAGGTATTTCTTTTTGAGACCCACATGCAATGTAATATGCGTTGCTTTTATCAAAGCCTGTAGCCATATAAAGCTCATTTGCCTGTGATGCGTGTGCCTGGTATACTTTTATTTTTTGGTGTCCTGACGGGCTTTGTATATTTGTGCCTGTACTTTGTTGGCGTACTATTTTAATACCCAATAATAATCAAGTAAAAATTTAAAAGCAATACAAGAGATCAAGATAATTGAAAAAACAAAAAAAATGTACACGGAGTCAAGTTAATTGTCAGCGAATAAAAGCAATAAAAATAATGAAAAAATATATATATATATTTATATATATATATATATATATATATATATATATATATATATATATATATATATATATATAAGGGGTCAAGATTACAAATAAATGAATAAAAGTTGCTTACCCTTCCATATTGTCTTCTCCTACACTCCAGTAACTCGGAATTGGATAGACAGATTTGACGTCAGCTTCCTGCAGAAAACTAAAGAAAAATAATCGTTGCTTATTATTTGCCTTTTGGGGATAATTCATAAGAAAAAACAACTGAATTATTCAGAAACAACGATAAGAGTTAAATTTGTAAATAAAGCGCATTAATATGGACAATAAAAATAAATGAATCGATGTGAGTGTACGAGCGAAGGTAATGGAATCTGGACGGAAAATTATGAAAATCCGTGGCATTTACAGATAATTATTCAAGTAATTTTGAAAAGATGATATCTATCTATCTATCTATCTATCTATCTATCTATCTATCTATCTATCTATCTATCTATCTGTGTAGGTCGATTCATTATCTATCTATCTATCTATCTATCTATCTATCTATCTATCTATCACAGTTAATTAATATCTAACTAATGTTTATTGACTTACAAAGAAGATCAGTGGTTTAAATTAAATATTAAATGAAATTAAATGCATATTTATGAATATTGAAACTGACGAAGAAGTCAAAAAGTGACTTCATTTTGGGGGAAACTCTGTGTGTGTTTTTATATATATATATATATATTAATAAAAATATGAAACAACCTTTATGGGGTCACGTTTTGATGCTTGGGGAATTTTCTGAAGACAAATTTAGTTATTTTCTTAAGAAACCTGTATGTATACACACAGAAAAAAAAGTATAATACAGTTTATTTAAAATAATTTGCTACGTTTATCTTTTTAAAGTTCTTTAAGTAACAAAATGACATAAAAATATTTTCCTCTAGTCATTCTTTAATTAACATTGTCATTGCAGATATATTTAATTACAACTTAATTTTTACTTACACACACACACACACACGTATATATATATATATATATATATATACATATATATATATATATATATATATATATATATATATATATTTCATCCCAACACAAACAGTAAAGCCACTAAGAAGCAAGATGTTACTGAGTGTTAGAGAATATGAGAAAAGACACTTAGAAGAAAACAGAACAATAAAAGAACAAGAATTAAAGCGACAGAAGTTTTGGAAAGTTATTTCTGACATAAAAGAACTTAGTCGGAAGTTAGAAAAACATAATAAAAAATTGGATAGACAGACTTCGACGGTATTTTCTTTTGATTTATTGTCTAATGAAAGTTGTATGAAATAATTATTTCTGATTAAGTACACATTACACACACACACACATATATATATATATGTATGTACTGGCGGTAAGGTCTCATCATTTTACATTCAAGTGGGTATATGTAATCATAAGTTCTATGCTAAGAGTTTTTTCTATCGCACTTCTCGCTTGTGAAACTCTCTTCCTGCCACGTGCCTCACAGTTAACTTTGATCTTCAAAGATTTAAGTGCAATGCCAATCGTTAAATTCTGTCTTATTAATCCTGGTTCTTTTATTGTTTTCTCTCTTTAGTAATGTTTTTCTTATATTCTCTCACACTCAGTAAACCTTTACATGTTTGTGTCTCTATTGAAGTGGTTAAAATAACGTTTGAAATAACGTTAAAAATAATGTTTGAAGTAATAAAACAGTCGGACTTATATATATACATATATATATATATATATATATAGATAGATAGATAGTGTTATGGTCCTGTTCCTTGTACCACGGCCCAAGGTTGAACCAATAAAGAAGAACTCGAACACGGATGTGGAATAACACAGATATATTACAAACAGGAATATATACAGAGAGGTAGAAAATGTTAGTACGAACAATCAGGTTTAGTAGTAATTGTCTGAACACGACTCTGTTTCGGACTGCCTCTGACTCGACTGACTGACTCGCTCGCTCTGACTGACTGACTGACAGACTCCTGACGGACTTCACTCCAGACTTCAGACTGAACTCAGACTTCAGACTGAACTCTGAACTCCCTGCTTCCTCTTGAGGCGCAGTGTTTATTACATATGGAATAGTCCATTATGTTATTATGGGTAAGGTCCCACAACAGATAGATAGATAGATAGATAGATAGATAGATAGATAGATAGATAGATAGATAGATAGATAGATATGAATAAACTTAGATATTAACAAAATTAAATAGATAGATAATTAAATAATAGACTGAGATAGATAGATAGATAGATAGATAGATAGATAGATAGATAGATAGATAGATATCATCTTTTCAACGCTGAGTAGAGGATGTTGAATATTTTATTTAAGATAATGGAGAAATTAACAACAAAAATAAATCGTAGAAATACAACAGAACAAGTAGACAGCCATGTTACATCAATTACACACGAAACATTAAAATTTGAAATCACTCAAGATGCTCAAAAGAAAGAAAGAAAAATCCTTATCTCCATGGATTGAACTACGGGACTTGTAGCTTGTCTTCTAAATTTTTAACCAGTGAGGTCATTCTTTATTTCTCAATTTAGAAGAACAAGGAAAAAACAAAAACTGTGGGTGAGTGGTTGGGGTTAGATTGTTGACGTATAATGGAACCGGTCTGTACTTTAATGTCATTTCTTTCCGGTCAGTACGTTCAGAAGATGAAATTGTCACCGACTTGTGGTCAAGCGCATTCATTCATAATAGCCGGACGATGTACGTTTGAAGAAAGACAGGAAAAAATGCTTATCATTCAATTTGAGTGGACATGTTTTAGTTATGTCAACTGTTATTTAAATAGGAAAAAAAAACAACTTTAAAAGTGACTCGGGAGTTTCAAATAATGACTCACCACGAAAATGTGTACTGGATTCACCCGAAGTTTAAGTTATTGCATAAAACCAGAAAGAAGGCTTGTTTGTCTTTTTGTTTTATGGCAGCGTTCAAGACATTTAACAAGTCTCGTTTTCTGCGCGTATTATAAAAGACAATTCCATTTTAGTTTGGCTCAAAATCTGATTTATATATATTTGCATAACCCTCCACATCTTCCTGTTCCTTGTAGCTCTTAATAATTTTTTTCTTTTTGTTATTTCTCCCAAACCCTGTTCTTCTATCCATTTGCTCAAGCCTGTCAAGTATGTCACGCGTTGCTTTCCTCTGTTCGTCTTTAACTCTATGTGTCTTGTGAGTATCAGATTTTCCAAGCCCTCCTTCCTCATTACGTGTCCCAGAAATTTCAACTGCCTTCTCATGATGTTAAATATAATTTTTCCGTTTTGTTTCCATTCTCTCCAAAACCTTGACGTTGCTCTCATGTTCGATCCATGGTATCCTCAGCATCAGTCTCTTCTTCATCTTTTACGAGATTGCCCAGCGTTCGCTTTATCAAAACAAAAACTGTGTTATTATTTGTCGGATTCTTCTTCTTCTTCTATGTGCCGTGCCTCTTTGCGATCATGGCTTTCCACAATTTCCTATCCTTTGTGATCCTTAGCAGCGTGTTTTCCCTTTTAAAATCCTCCCGTAACCCCGTCCCACGATCTGTTCAAGCAAACTCGTCAGGTAGATAGCTCGCCGCCTTCCCCATGTCCATAGAGTTCTCAGTATCCTCATGTAGAATCACATCTCAATATCGTAAATTCCTTTCTCTGTGCACTGAAATTTATGTATAACAACATAAATAAGATAAAATTCGATATTTAACCACAAAACGCAGTTGATTGTGGTAGTCTAGTTTCACACAGTTTGATGAAAAGAATGACAAATAAACCCTAACCCTATCAATGAAAAAGAAAGATATAATGAAAAAAAAAAAGCCCCTAAACCTAACCTACGTTAGACATTGTGACACACTTTGCACAGTTTCATTGTAATCAGTTCAGAAATACGTGTCTGGTTCTATACAAGTTTTCATCACTACAATCAAATCATCTGTACGGCTAGTCTAGAGTTTTCCATTTATTAGGATGATTGTCATTGAAGCAAGACAGCGCAGCCTGCCATACTATTTTATCCACAGATGGGGGAAGAAGGAATAAGTAAATGTCATTTCGTATGCTGAAATTAAACGAAACGGAATCGAGGAAAATTTGAGCCCGTCTCGCTGATATCATTTCCAGCGACGATATGTTTTCCCGCAATGATATACGTCCATTTATATATATATATATATATATATATATATAGAGAGAGAGAGAGAGACCCTTCTTCTATCTATCTCTTTCTTTTCATTATATATATAGACAGTTATTCCCCCCTGATGGTCATGCTGTCAGAAACTAGTCGAGAAACCTAATTTAAAAGATAAAACAAAAATATTAATATACAACCCAGTGTCAGTATATCTGAAATTTTATTTCTAAATTTTTTTTATTAATGAAGACATATATATATATATATATATATATATATATATATATATATATATATATATATGTGTGTGTGTGTGTGTGTGTGTGTATATATATATATATATATATATATATATATATATATATATATATATATATATATATATTAACAACAGTACGAACATATATGGTGAAATTTTGGGTCACCAGCGCCTCTCATCACTAATAAATTTTTCCGTACAAATAACGTCTCGGGTGAGGAGGAACGGTGTCTCGATCGACGAACACGCAAGGCGGCGACAACGTGGCTCGACAGGCTGGAGTGTCGGTGGGAGACCGCCAGTTGTGTTGTAGCTTTGATAAAGCAGTAGCAAATCGAAGCATAAACGTTTTCAATGACAATTCCATGCCTCACTTTAAAAACATTTTTAAAACAAATCTCACTGGACAAGATACAGTGACTAGTAAAAAGAATCGAGTTGTTCGAAGAGAATGAAAAAAAGAAACAGATGAAACACCAGAAAGACGTTTTTTTTTTTTTTTATGGAAGGAGACTCCTATTCGGACATTTGGCCGACGGACATTTAGCCGAATGGATATTTAGCCGAATGGATATTTAACCGAATGGACATTTAGCCGAAAATGTAATGGCGTACTTACATGTATGTCAAACAATTTATCGTAATGTGCTACACTAATTTATAATTTTTCGTATTTTTGACAGGCTTTTTAAAAAGTCTATTGTGTATACAGTGTAACCCGGATATAAGAGATCCGGATATAAGAGAAACCCGGATATAAGAGACCCGGATATAAGAGAAACCCGGATATAAGAGAGATTTTCTCTGGTCCCAAATTAGAGGCTGTGTTAATGTATATAAAATAGACCAAACCCGGATATAAGAGAAACCCGGATATAAGAGAAACCCGGATATAAGAGAAACCCGGATATAAGAGAGATTTTCTCTGGTCCCAAATTAGAGCCTATGTTAATGTATATAAAATAGACCAAACCCGGATATAAGAGAAACTCGGATATAAGAGACTTCTCCGGTCCCGACGACTCTCTTATATCCGGGTTACACTGTATATGATATGATACTTCAAATTATACTTCAAATATTACTGTAAGTTTGTAAGTATTTTGAGAAAAGCACATTTTACTACAGCAAAAATCTTAAGCTTTTACGATATGAACGATCTTACATACAATTTCACAATTATTTACAATAATGATCATTATTTACAATAATGATCATTGTCTTAAAGGTTTGAATTAGCTTTTATCATTGTTAAATACGAATAAATAATTAGGTACTACTCTTTACCCAAATACACTAAAATATTTTTAAAATGTTAATTTCAATAAACAAATATTGAAATAAAAAAAAAATTAACTTTAAATTTAGATTTAGTAATATAATCACTTGAAATTCAATGGTGATTATTAGTCCTATTCTACCTTATAATACTGATAATTAAAATATTTAAAGTATTACTTGGTACTATTTTTAGTTGTACTTTTTCGGAGAAATGTCCGTTTGGCGAAATGTCCGTAGGCCAAATATCAGCTGGCCAAATGTCCGGCTACGTCCCTAAACATCTCACCCCTTCCCCTTTCTCACCACCTTCCACTTATTCGTACAGGTATGTTAAAATTAAATATTTTGTTCATATTTTATTTGTTGAATATTGGGTTTAACGGCAAAAGGATAAACCTAAAATGCAAAATAGAAATAGCGGATACTAAAACCAAACAAGCACAAAAAATTTAAATATATAGGAAGTGTTCTAACGGAGGACGGAAAGTGCGACACAGAGATCTGAAGACGCATTGGGATAGCCAAAGATGCATCCAGAAGCTAAGCAGAGTATTAAGAGACAGGAAAATTTCGTTTGAAACAAAGAAAAGTACTGTCTTTCTGTTTGTCAGCGAATGCTGGACAATCTCCTCAAAGATGAAGGGGCATGAAGCAACAAAAATGTGGTTCTACAGAAAGATGCTGAGGATACCATAGAATGAACATGTCAGCAGCGACAAGGTTTTAGAGAAAATGAAAATAAAAAGGAAACTTATAGTTAACATCAAGAAGACGCAGTTGATATTTTCTGGAGTACGTAACGAGGAATGAGGGCTTGGAAAATGTGATACTCACAGGGCACAGGAAAGCAGCGCGTATCGTACTTGAAGAACTTGAGTAAATGGATCACAGAACAGAGTTTAGGAGAATTTACAGAAAGACAACACTTACTGAAAGCTTCAAGGGGCAGAAAGATGTGGAGGGCCATGATCGCCTACGGCCTGAAGGGACAATGCACATAAAAGAAGGAGATCAACACTGTGTAATCTGCCAATTTTAGACGAATTTCCAGATGAAAATCTTTTCTAAAGATCTTTTATATGCTGTGTCTGTTCAGGGCGTTGGCGATCATGGCTCTCCACAAGTTCCACAACATTTGGATGAGTCTAATGGTGATTACGAACGTATGGCATCTCGGAAAACTCACTCAGATTGTTCTGATAAGAAAAGAACTCCAGAATTTGGTGGTGAGGGCCTCAGACTCAACACTGAGGACTATATTAAGTGCTTTGAGGAGGTAATGCTGCCCTGGTTCAAGGGGGAGGCTGCTGGAAAACTCTATGTCGTGCAACAGGACTCTGTACCATGCCACAAAAGCAGGAGAAGGCATTCAGACAATTTCTGTGACCACATCACCCCCACCTTACATTTGGCCACTTAACTCCCTAGTCTGCAACCCTCCTTTAATTATTAGTCTGCAACTCCACCCCCACCCCTTAATTATTATGTGTGAATCGCAGGTTGAGCGAGAGACCAAAAGATTTCTTGTAACATCAAAGATGAACTGAAGGCAAGTATTACGGCAGCATTCACCAACTTAAACAAGGAGACCGTCCAGAAGAGATGCAGGAGATTCCGAAGTCGTCTGGAGGGCGTGGTTGAAACCAATGGCGATTTTTTGAATAAATTTACTTTTTAGTATTTCAAAATATTTTTGTGTAATTTTGGTAAATATATCTGTTAAAATGAGATATCAGTTTTATTGTCATTTGGGGGGGGGTCATCCAGACGACAATTAATCCATCGCACCTTGTATATATGTTAAAATGAGATGTCAGTGTTATTTTCATTTTTGCTTCATTTAGACGACAATTTATCTATCGCACCCTGCATATGTTTGTGTGCATGCGTGTGAAAGGAGAATGTATAAGGTATGCGGGCGAGAGAACGTGGGTTATACGCGAAGCAAGTAAATAATTAGGTGAGGTAGAAAAGAGGCAGCGTGATAGTGGATGAGACTGAGAGTGAAAGACACGCCCGCACATTGCACATAATAAAAATTGTCATTTCTTCGTTTTTAGCTGATGCTAATTGTACTGTTGTCGTAGCGAGAATTTGTAGATTGAGCTCTCTTTCTCTCTCGCCGTCAACATCGGGGAAATTCGATCACGTGATCTCGTCTGTCCCGCCTGTCTTGTCTGTCATAATAATGAAAATAAAAGTAGCTTTTGAAGATGTAACGTTTGAAAGCTATTATAACCCGAAGAAAATATACGGGCCAAGTTTATCAGAAAAAGAAAGAAGCCCTGTCTCGATTTAATTTATTTGACTTTTTTTTGAAGCGGCAGTAGTAAACAAAAGAGTTGCGGTAATCCGTGTAGTGGGATATTCACTAACCACCACACACGACCGAATACGGCACAAGGCCAATTTCATAGTGGGGTATCCGAGTCCGTAGGCTCAGTCAAAAATTCCCCATAGACCCCGTAAAAAACGAGCTCGTGTAGCTGTCCACACTCGGGTTTGTTGCACCTGTTAGAGTCCCAACTATGGGTAAATAGTTAACCCACCCAACCAAACAGGGGTCAAAACACTATGGAAGTATAAAATAAAATAATACACTTTTGGAAAAATTATTAGCAGTAATGCATTTTTTAAATTTTACCAGAAAAAATATTACCAGCAATACAAATCTTGTTGGTATTAAATAACCCATTGAGGTGTTGATATGCCGTAAAACAAACCAAACCAAACCAAACCGAAATAAGAGAGAGAGAGAGAGAGAGAGAGAGAGAGAGAGAGGACATGAAAATGAAAAGGAAAGAAAGATTGGAAAGCAAAAAAGCATAAGGAGAAAGAGAGACCGAACAGAAAGTTAAAAAGAAAAACGAGGAGAATGAAGAGACGGTGGGGTGGGTCATAAAACAAGTGGGAAGGAAAAAAAACCAAAAAAACATTGAGATAAAGAAGATAAAAGAAAACAAGAAAGACTGTCAGAATTGGTTTAAGTAAAATAAATAAATAAATAAATAAAGGAGGAGACAAAGGAAGGAAAGAAAGAAAGAAAGAAAAAAAATTAAAAAGTTGATAAAGATAAAAAAAAAACAGATGTCAAATTATATTAGAAAACAGCGAAAAAAAAATGATCGAAATTAAAAGCAACCAAAATTATGAGAAAGAAAACACTATTTAATTTTTCATCAGTACCATTGAGCATTGTCACAGAATTTTCTTTTCTTCTATCACACTTTTAAGCTTAGTAACCACTTTGCGTCTTAGTGGCCTTATTGCCTTGCTTGGGATGAAATGATTTTGACAAAAATGCACGACAAGCATCCATATGTTGCCCGATTTTTATCTCTAAATCTACAATTCTCTTCCATAAAACATTTACATATAATAAATATTTAGCTAGATATCCAATAAATTAGTACATGTTTAATAGTCAAAAAGATAAGCCCATTGAACTTTTAATGATTTATTGGATATTATAGCTCTATTTATCAATTGAGCATTTGTTCTGCTGACCTAAAAATACATTCCCCAACTATGGGCAAATAGTAGGGTAGACTGGTTTCTATAGCTTTGTGTAGCAACCAGTTTAGGAGAAGGAAAACTCTGAATTCAAAACTGTATGTATCCCTGGCGAAGCACAAACTAAGCAGCTAAGGAATGGATATTTCGCATTGACTCGATGAGCCGACTGTGGTCAATCCCCCCCCCACACACTTTTTTTAAGTTTTGATAATGTTTTACGTATTTTTATAGGTGATTTAAATTGTATTATTAGCAGTGTTCATTTTTATCAAAAATATATTTATTTATATGCTAACAGTTTCTTTCGCACTTCTCGCTTGTGGAACTGTCTTCCAGTCAACTAAAAAACTTAAATGTAATATCAGTAGTTATCTTCTGTCTTCTTAATTCCTGTTCTTTTATTGTCCTTTCTCTTTAATAATGTTTTTGTTTTCTCTCTCATATTCTCTCTCACTCAGTAGTTTTAGTGGCTTTATTACCGTACTTCGGTCAAATGATAAAAACGTACCATGAATCTTTCAATTACCACATTTCAAATATTATAGATATATATTTTTTAATATTCTCATATATATATATATTTTCAGCATATCACCCCAAGCAAGGTGGGAGTGCCACTAGCACGCAAGGGGTTACAGAGAGTGAGAGTAAGAGTAAAGAGGGTTGTTTGGGGAAAAGATAAAGAGAAAGACGGGGGTCAAGATCAAGGCATCAGAAGATGTCGATTGACATTATATTTGAATATTTGAAGATTATAGCTATCAGGGAAGCAAGTAAGAGGAAGGGAATTCTACTGCCGGGAAGTGCGAGATAAGAAGCTGTTGGAGTAGAAGAGGCAGCTACATTTAACCGTTTCGGCATTAAAAAAAAGTGGGACCGAGATGCCAACCTCGTAGCAGTGAAAGTAGCTCGTCAGGGAAGTTGTCATGAAAATATTTGTAGAAAAGACAGAGGGAAACCACAGCACGTCTGTAAAAAAAAATGACTGTAGACGAGATGTCAGATCAGGGCCTATTGCATTGCATATCCGTCTTTGGATTTTGTCGAGGATCTCGAGATGATCAACGGAGGCACCAGAACATAGATAGCAGCAGTATTCAATGCAAAGACGAATGGTTGATTTTCAGATTTGACGGATGGAATCAGGCGATAAAAACCTCTGGGGCGACACAGAGAACCAACTTTCCTTCCGTGGATGAAGCGATTGATTCAGTGTAGTTTTTTTGCCTTGAGCGTTTCTGTATTTTTATAGGTTAAATAAAAATGAAAAATGCTTTTGTTTTGAAGAATAGAATCAAAAATTCATATTAAAAAGAGAATTTGTAAGTTTGAAAAGATCAAGTATGTTAAAATAGGCTTCATTTTATTTTTAAATTTTGTTTGTAATTGATTAAAACCAGAAACTCGATTAATGAATATTTATCCGACTCGATTAATGAATATTATCCGACTTGCCACTTGCTTAAGGAAAAACATTTCTTCATTCAGCCCGCAGTACTAACAGGGGGTTAAATGCAATATGCAAATTATAGTCAGTCAGTTATGTGCCATACATGATACACGCTTAGGCGATCATGTATCTTTCGATACATGACTGATGAGGAGGATTTTTTTACCGCAGTAGGTTGCCATTTCCTTCTGCGGTAGACCAGTTGCCATCCAAAGCTAGAGAACACGGTCTGTCCTGCTATTTACCCATAGCTGGAAGAAGAAAAGGATTCATACCTTTCCTAAGAATATTAGCATGTAAGTGAATGTAACGGATTCGAACTCGGCTCCTCGATTCTTCAATCCGAACCGCTATCCATTCCTCTACGTTAGGTACCTTAAAAGAAAAGAGCCACTGAACATAAGAAACCTATTTTCTTAAAAAAATGTTTTAAGAGAAAGATTTTATAAATTTCATTTGATAACAGCACTAATTACTTATTCAATGAATATCGAATGTTTCATTATAAGGAAATGGCTAATTACGATTTAGTTATTAATTTTTTGGATATATATATATATTGTCTTGAGTGTTATTTCTGGATTTTATAGGATATATAAAAATGAAAAAAAAAAAAACACGAAAGTTTTTATTTTGAAAAATTGGATTAAAAGGCTAGTATTAAAAATGAATTATAATTTCAAAAATTAAAATAGGTTTCATTTTATTTTCGGTATAATCTTTGAAAATAATTTATGATCAATCTGATTTCTCTTCAACACTTTTTTTCTCCTTCCAAGAAGGTTACTGATATCTTTGTTTTTTACCTTTCCCCAATGCATTAGTGTGAAGTGAATACTACCTACTACACTGGAACTAATTCAGTTCGGCAGTTCCATTTTTTGTGCTGATAACCGTCAGGCTTACTCAACAATGGCCAAGTTTAAAAAGGTTTTGGGGGAAAAATATTTTGTAAAATAGAATTAAAATTATAATATTTAAAAAAAAAATGAATTTGTAAGTTTAAAAAATTAAAATATGCAAAACGAAATTTCATTTTTATTTTCGGTATGATCTTTGAAAATAATTTATGATCAATCTGATTCGTCTTCAACTCTTTTTTTTCTCTTGTGCTTGAAATTCAAGAAAAACAAGAAACTACCCGTAATTTTTTTGACAGCGGTATTCAGAAAACTACGTGAATAATTATGAAAATTTGACTTCTCACTTGCTAAATGTTAAGAAAAAACAATAAAGAAGTAATGTTTTCAATAATGTAGTAATACAGGTTTAATGCTACGTGTATTTTGAACATTCTTATCTGTAACTTTGTTCTGTAATAAAGCGCGCGCACGCGCGCGCACACACACACACACACACACACACACACACACACACACACACACACACACACATATATATATATATATATATATATATATATATATAAATAAGTAAATATAAAAGTGGACTTTGAGGTCAACACCCAGTCTATTTAATGATTAAGCGCAATATTCAGGCTACGTGTGTTGTGTTTTGCCTGGACTATTTATATATGTAGGTCAATGGTGCATTATGGGGAAAAGGTCTATTGTATTAGCTTAACGGTTATTGGGTGGGCTGTAATTACATACACTCCCCCGCAATTACTCAAGCTAGAATTCATGTCGAAGTTAACACACGAAAATTTACCATTCAAAAAGAACATCCTTGATAATGACTATAGAACAATCCGAAAGCGCTTGGAACAATAACTGTGGAAAATTTCTATATTCTTTAACCCTTGAAAATGGAAAAAAATTGTAGAATGCCGCAAAAACTCAATAAAAGATAAATTAAATCTTCCATGTCATGTCGTGTTAAAGATGCTTGCAAGAAAGGTTGCTATCCAAATACTCTCTCTCTCTCTCTCTGTCTCTCTCTGTCTCTCTCTGTCTCTCTCTCTCTCTCTCTCTCTCTATATATATATATATATATATATATATATATATATTCTGTATCCAGAAAAGAAAACACTTGTTCGAATACAAGAAAAATTAAATAAAAAGCTTAATCGTAATACCTTGGCTGTCGTCTTTAATGAAACATATATAAATGAATGATTGCTGCCTAAATACACAATTATCAAATGACACGACAACAAGGAAATGCTTTATCGAATGTAGCAATGAAAACTGTATATGAAAATAAGTAACAGTCCTGGGTATGACCATAAACTACATCTGGCAACAAGGCCTCTGAGATGGGCGTTTTTGAAGAGCGTAGACCCACCTCTTAATTGCTGCTGTTTCCAGGTCCACCCTGACCGGGTGTGGTAACCCCTGTTAAACATTGCTAACACCTATGGGCAAATAGTAAACAAAACGCTATGAAAGTATAAAAAGACATTTTTATAGTAAAATTACCAACAATGCATATTTATATCAAAATGACCAGCAATACATTTCATAGTAGAATTACCAACAATACATTTTATAGCAAAATGACTAACAATACATTTTATCTGTAGTTGAAGGCATGCAATGGCGTTCAAAATATATTTAGCTGAAGCCATAAAATTTTGTTCAAACCATTTAGGTTTCGGCATTAAATAACCCATATAGATGTTGATATGCCGCTAAACAAAATCAACCAACTTCGTATTGACGAAAGACCGCGCAATAAATCCATTCAGTATTCTGTTTTTTTTATGTGGAGAAGGGATACAGAAAACAAATGGTACGCCATTAGTTTGAAGCTTGGCGTCCATGTTTTTTGGTGTTTGGATCAGACTCGGGTGAATTATGGCCTAATTCGATGCAGTTAAACCGTCCGCCAGCCACTGTCGTTTCTCCCACCGCCGTATCCCGAATGTTCACCTCATTCTGTCGTCGCACCAAATGAATACCGAATCTTATTAGTACATTTCCAAACAGCGGTGCTAATTTGCTTTTCACTTCCGACCGATGATCAGGTAATCGAATTAGCAATATCGTTTGCGGGATGATAAAG